CCTCCTTCCTTCCCTCCCTCTCCACTCCTTTCTCATTCTCTTTTATTTTCCCTTTTGTTTCCTATCCAATTTCCTTGAATTTCTTCTTAAATGGCTTGGAGGCAAACAATCAGATCACTTTTCCAAACTTGCAGCCCGATTGTTACATTTTAATTGCAGTAGGTTATTTAATGTTATTTTAGCAGTAGTGAATATTCCTGAGCCAACACATTCTTCTGACACATCTCTTTGCAGAACATGTATTTGTAGGACATATTGTGTCTTGCTTTTAAAATATTTGAGAGCTTTGGGATTTTTTTTTCATAGGGAAGGTTCTAAAAAAATGATGTTTGAAAGCTTAAGTCCCTCCTCATCAAACATATCTCATATTTGCTTACAGAAAAGAGGGGATCTGCTGGTAAATTACTCTCAGAAATGCTTCCTTCAACAGGAAGCCCTCACAAACCAAGGACACAGGGGGTTCCTGGGCTGCCAGTGCCCAGGGGCAGCTCCCTGCACCCCCAGGTCCTTCTGGGCAGGGCTGCTCTCAGCCCCTTCCATCCTCAGCCTGGATGGATACCAAGGATTGCCCCAGCCCAAGTGCAGCTGGAAAAAATCTCTTCGCCCAGGATTTTTCTCCTGGGAATCTGAGAAGTCTCAGAGAAAAGGAAAACAACTCTTATCTCATTTGCTTCTCCTCTGTTTTGCTCATGTGGAATGTGTTTGGAGATTGTTTATCCACAGGTGATTGTTCCATTGGACTCTGGTGTGAGTTGTTTTGACTCTTTGGCCAATCAGGACCAAGCTGTTTTGGGACTCTGGAGAGAGTCATGAGTTTCATTATTAGCTTTGTAGCATTGAGTAAATATCCTTTCTGTATTCTTTAGTATAGTTAAGTTTAGCATTCTTTAATGTAATATAGTATAATAAAATAATAAATTAGCCTTCTGAGAACATGGAGTCAGATTCATCATTCCTGCCTCCCACAAGGGTCCCTGCAAATACAATTGATGAGATTTCCATGAGCCACTTTTGTCCGGGTCCCTCTGGATGGTCCCATCCTTCAGGTGTGTCAACAGCACCACACAGCTTGGTGTCATCTGCAAATTTACTCACACAGAGCTTCCTAGTTCCTCCAATTATGGTTCTTTGAAATGTTGATAATGTAAGGCTATTAGAAATTGAAAAATGGTCCATATGTATAGGTATAGAGCAATTTTCCTGATCTCACTCCCAAAAAAATAATGTTTGATATTGAAGCCAGTGAATTAAGTATTACAGGGAAGGAATTATTATGTATCCCTATTCAAGAATTATAATTTTATGAGAAAGAGGTCATTACTAACAAAACTAATTTTCTTCTGCAGAGTTACAGTTTGGTTGATATGGTAACTACCTTGATAAAATACATTTGTTCTTTAATAAAGTACAGTTTTTCTTAGGCATAGTTACTATGTATTGAGTTGAATTTGCATTAAAAAGTAGCACTCTACAATGGATTAAAAGCTGACTGATCTCATGTAGCAGGTGTCACTGGAAAGTCATCATTCCTGGTGCAACTGTAAAAGAATATTTAGCACTTCTGGTGCTATTAAAAATTTCCATGAACCCCATGGATATAAATGCAAAATCTTTGCTGATAAAAATTTTGGATAAAGCAAATGATTGACAGAGTATTATATAAGGTTGCAGACAAGACAGAAGTTTTAAACAATAGATATTTAAAGGCAACTGCAAGCAGAGGATGTAACAGGCAGGAGAGGCTGAAAGCTTAGGTCATTCAGCTGTACTTTCTCTTCTGTAAATCTATAAAGATTCACAAATTACCAGAGCCTTAGCTGCAGTGCAGATTTTTTACTGTCTCTCCCATTTTCAGTGGGTGTTCATTACTGCAAATCCTCTGAGCATCACAAGTATTTGCTCAGAATTTTGCCTGACAGGAGCAGAAAAAATGGGCATAAATGCTCTTTGACACTAAAATGTTCACCTGTGTCTGGAGTTTCACAGAAAGGCTCCAGCAGAAGGAGGGCAGCTTTGTCTTCCTTCCCAAAAATGCAGCCCTGGGTGTGGCAACGAGACCTGGTGGCTCCTTGGGACTGATGAATGTGCTGTCAGTCCTGCACTCTGCTCCTTTGGACCTACAGTGCTTTGCTGATAAATGGGATAGGGAAGTACCAACCTAGTCTGAGTCTCTGTGAATTATTTTGTGGCTGGAAAGTCACTGGAAAGTGAGCATTGTAATAAACCTCTTTCCCTTGCCAGCTATTTATGCTCATTCCTTAGAGGCAGGCAGGAGGGGAGGAGTCAAAGGTAGCACAGGATATTTGTAAAACACAGGCAAAAGTGGAGCTACAGTTCTTTAAGAGGTAATAAAAGATTGTCCCTATCACTATCTGCCTATGTGAAAGGTCCCTTCCACACTTTTTGAAAGCCCCTTTTAATTAGTGGAAGGTTCTTTATGGTCTTCCTGAAACTTTCTCTTCTCCAGGCTGAACAACCCAAGCTCTCTCAGCCTATTTTCACAGGAGAGGAGCTCCAGGCCTCACATCATCTCTGTGGCCCTCTAATAAGTCTAGTGTTATACATATAACGACATATATTTGTTATTGTTATGGTTGCTACTATTGTTATTGTTGTTTTGTTATTGTTATAATTATAATATTGAACAGACCTGATATCTCCACCAGTTCTTCTCATTAAAATGATCCCTTGAGCTACCTGCCCCCATTGTTTACAAGTGTGCAATAACCTATTGATCTGGCAAAAGAAAGCATAAATAAAAGTTATTTCAAAGATTTGGCAGGAAAGGGGTGGATACGTAGACAGTTCTCTATGGAGAAGCATTTATCTGCAATTGTGTTGACACTAATTGGGAGCATGAGAAATGGCTGACAAAGGCTGGGTATTTTCATGACTTTTTAAAACCTGTGTGTAGGGGTGAATACTCTGCAAAGTTTTAGTCATTTAACTCCAATTTCTGCTTGAAAAAAATCAGGGAGGTTTTCCAGAGGAGGAGCTGTCCTTTATGAAAAGTTTGGGCAGCACCTCAATGTCAGCTGCCCTTTCAGAGCTTCCCTTCCAGCCAAGCTGAGAGTGGAAGCCCATTCTGTATTTGTGATTTTCATGCAGATTTACAGACAGAAAGACACAAACACAGAGTTGTCCCAACTGATGGAAAGGCTCAGTTCATCTGTTTTGTCATTCTGTCTGGTCAGGCAGAAAAAAGTGGCTCAGAACCAGACATAGTGTATGGGGTTTCTTGTCCATCATGAAATTAGGCTATAGGGGAGAGGAAGGGTATTTAGGATGTGCAGATGGGATGGGATTATTGCTGAGGTGCCACGTACAAAGCCCAGCAGATCAGATCAGCCTTTGTTTGTTCTGCAGCTTCCCCAGTGATGTGTTTCCTTGGGATAATTTTGTCCTGGTTCTTTTGCTTTTCAGATGTCCTGTGTCCAAATGTCCACGTGGAAGGAGACCGGTTCAAACACACCAATGGGGGCACCGATGAGATCCCAGGTAAACAGAAACACATTTTGCTGTCCCTCTGGGAACGGAAACAGCACAACTGTGCATTTCTTGTGTGATGCTCTGATTCATTGCACCTTTCCTAGATGGAATTTTCTTATTCCAACACCTGTGCAGTGGTGAAAAAGTGTATTAGAAACTGTGAGGCTTCAAATGAGTTATCTGTTGACAGCCAACACCAAATTAATCACAAACTTTCTTTTGATATGGCATCAAATTAAAAAGCCAGTGGAGCTTAGTGGAGTGCAATAAGTCTTGGAGATGATTTTTTTCTCACCACTGCACATTTAATGAGTTTTAATGTCCATTTATTTGATCTGTGATTGTTGGGGAAATCCAAGCACAGTGGTAATTACCAGTGGAGAAAGGTTTATGTGTGCATTTACTTAAATAAAAGATTTTCTGAAGCACTGGTGAGAGATCAAGGGGAAATACAGTCTGGTGATAGCTCCGCTTTTCTGTGAGCTCTGATACATCTTCTCAGCCAGCTGAAGGACCTAATGTTAGATATTTGTTTGGGCTGTGCCTCTTTTCCAGCCTCCCAAGACTTCTTGAGCTGCTGGCAGAGAAAAGATGCCCATCAAGGTTGCATTGGGGATAATTGTGACTGACCCAAGGACACAAGTCACTGCAGTGGGAGGCTGAAGGTTCTTCTGCAGCTTGATTATGAGTAGCAATGCTCAGTGTTTGACAGCCTTGCTACTCATTCAGAAATTTTTCATTGGGGGATTTTCACTGCCTGCACAAAATACCAGCTCCAACTGTGCTGTCTGTGGGCAGCTTATTTTGGCTGTATTCTGATTACATCTGAGCCTGTGATAGTGTTGGGTGGTAACATTTTTTGTGACCATTAGACCCAAGCAGATTATCCCCAAACACCTATTTTGAACTGATGTCTGTTGCTGGGTCTTGAATTAACCTGTTCTGAAAGTCCTTTTGTCTCTGGGCTGGCAAACTTTGGAGCAACTCAGTCTGAATGAACCTATCTGCAGTGGAAGCTGCTGCTCAGAATGAGTGGGAGGATTGTGTCCCTTCTCAGATGATCACCTTCTATGTGATCCTTTCTAGAAGAATGTAGCTACAAGTGGTATCCTATTTCCAGTTCATGTTTATCTGAATTTTGATTCAAGTGCTAACTAGTAGACTCTATGCTTTTATTTTACTTGTGAGAAATATCTTTTGTTGAGCAATGTATAGGACAGGAATCCCAATTCAGATCTGGCACCAAAGTTTTGGGTAGAGTGAGGTGTGCATGCCTATATGCAGTAATATTTACATATGTGTGTATATATATATATATATAAAATATATATATATATATATTTATAGACTCTTAGGCTCTTCTGTAATATTTTTGAGGTATTTTTCATATTATCTTCAAGTCCTTCTTCCCTCCTAGGAAAGAAGTCAATATTCAGAATGTTGAGATCTTCTTTTGTGTTCAGAACATAAAAGATAACTTTGCTGTCTTAGATCTGTATGTTAGTTCAGCTTGGAAGGGTCCTGTGGAAATCATCTAGTCCAAAATCCCACTCAAAATGGGGTCTCCTTCAAAATTTGGCCCATTTTAAAATGATATAAGATGTCTCTTGTATAATTGAGTTTTCAGTTTCTCTAAAGATGGACACTTCATAGATCCTCTGGGCACTCTTCCAATCTGGTCAGTATCACAATGCTTTTTTTTCCCCACTATGTTAGGGAATTCCATAAGCAGAAATTAATTTTTTGCACATCTGGCCAGGCTGATCAGTTATTTCACCTAAGGGATATCTGTTCACTGTAAATGTTTGCTGTTGCATTCAGTGTCTTAACAACAGATTAGTTACAGCATTTAATTAAAAGTGACAACTTCAGTCCCTCATCACCAATACAGAGGACTGTAGAAGGCCCCTGACTGCTCCAATATGGTGGGAAAATTATTTATTTCTCATCTGGCTACTGATGATCAGGAAAATGTGTGCCTCTTTCTTGGAAAAAATGGAACGGATAGTCTGGGTCTGCTAAGGATTGTTTGCTGCTGGAGATGGATCATATAAATCAAAGTGCTGTTCCACTCCTTATGTGCTCCTTACTTACTCCATAGTATTTTTGAAGGCTCTGGGCTCCTGGGTCTGATTCCAACAGAAAAACATTACCTTCCTCCAGCTAAACTGGAAAATTTCAGTTGGCCCACTGTGCTGTGCTTCCCATTCCAAAAGGATGTGTTGAGATGAAAGGTTTTGTGTTCTACCTCAAAAGGGATTGCCCTTCAGCTGTGAGGCACAGCCTGTGTCCTGCTCCCTCACACCTGGGAGGGAGGCTCAGCTCTGGGATGTGTCTGTGGGTGACAGCACTCAGGGGCGGCTCTTCCTCTGCTGTTGGAATTCAGGGCATCCCTCTGGCTGTCCTGGATAGCCCAAACCCCTGCCAGGGTGCTCAGAGACCCTGGCACAGAACCCAAGACACCTGTGACTTTGATTATGACCCATGGAAAAAATTCCAAACCTTATATGAGGATCTGCAAGCTGCAGAGGACTAAGTAGAATAATAATCAGTTTGTCACAGGGTGGAAAAATAGATTTTTTTGGGGTTTTTAGAATGGGGGTTCAAGGGGCAAGATGGAGGAATCTGGGCCTGTCCAGCCTTTCTCCTTCTTCTTCTTGGCCTCCATCTTCTGCTGTGATTTTGGCACTTTTAGATTGATTTATAGTAGAAGCTCACTGTCTAACATAGGTGATAGGTATTGGGAAGTTATGGTAAATAATGTACAAGTAGTTTTTAGTATAAAAAGATAACACTGCCCCGAGGGCAGACAGAGAGCCTCTGTCTGACCTGGTGAGCAGACCTCTGCAGGCCAGAGAAAGAATTTTACAGATAAGAAACAATAAACAACCTTGAGATTGAGAACTGCAGAGTTCTGACTCCTTCTTCGACAGCCAGGCTGGGAAAAGAGACTTTCTAATGTATCTTGGGGTCACTCTGACCAGCAGAAGTCCTGAGACTCTGCCCCCCATCTCCTCATGTGCACAAGTTAACACCTGTGCCTTGAGCTCCTCTAGGAACCAGAACTGATCCTTGCCCAACAGGCTCCTAACACTGAATTTCAGAGCTATATATTGCACAAATTTGTTTATAGATGGACACAAAGTTCAGTCTCATGGAGTAAAAGTTGCAGTAAATCTCATTTTGGGGACAGGGAAAACAGATTTAAAATCTTGCATTTAACACCTTTTCCTCTCTCAGAGAAGGACAAGACCTCAGAACTGAGTGCAAAAATATTTCTGAGGATTTTTAATTTTTTTTCTTATATTTTTGTTGTGTGAAATGTAGCAACAGAAGGCACAGACAATTGTTTCACACAAGGCATCACCAATTCCAGCCCATTCTTGCCTACCCTACCAGCATACAAGTTACATCATGACCTGCTACATTTAGTTCTGTGTTTGCATCTAAGTGGATGGATTGAGTCACCCTGTATCAGCAGAACTAAAAATAGAAGCTAAAACATAAAATGAGCTATAAAAGGAGGAACTCTGTGAGATAAAGGGAAACAATGGTGTGGCTGAGGTTGAAGATTCATGGGATTTTGTTAAGTCACAGGCTGAGAATAGGAGTGAGGTAGTGAAAGTGGCTCCATGCAGAATCAAATAACTGCATCAGAAAACCCCATTGTGGAGGAGAGCCAAAGCTCTAGATTAGTATTTTCCTATAAAAGACAGATGATTTCTTTTCTTTAGACAAACTGGACTAAGTAAATCTCATCTATCTGCTTTTGTTGAGTACTGCATTGAAAGTCACTGCTGAAGTGGAAAAGGGCAGAGAAAAATAAATGTAAAATGAGACAGAAACTGCCTGGCAGGGAGACAATCAGGAAGTTTCTAGGAAAGGGAATAATGAGTTAGAGTGTGTGTAGTGATGAAGTCCTTCAGGGTCCAGTTTTAGGTCTAATTTACCCTTTGAGTTTCCACTCTATGGATTGGGATCAATGGCTCCAAAACCCAGGGATTTTTTTCCAACTAACTGGGTCAGTTTAAAAGGCCTGTTTTGGTATGGATCAATACCAAATGGTTAAGGTATGGATCAATATCAGGACTATAAACTATAAACTCCTCCTGTGTGAACTGATGGGGTCTTAGCAGCAGTTTGTACATCACAGTCCTGTAGAGCTGGGGAAAATGCAGGGGTTGTTACTGGACAAGGTAGAGAAGGGAAGAATTCCTGAGACTTGACAGGGCTTTTGGTTACTGCTCATCTAGAAAAGTTTGCTCAGACCTCTTTAGTTCAGGAAAGATGGATTCAGCCTTGAGGAGCTCTTAGTGTGTTCAGGAGCCAGAGAGAGGCAATTAAAATCCTGGGTTTGGTTAATCTTGCAGTGTGCAGGTGGAAAGGGGAGATAATATTGCTCTCTGATCATAAATCAGGAGAACAGCAAGAGGGAGGGGGGGGGCCACTCAGGCTGAAGGACAAAGGCAGCAATAGAAAATGGCTGTCAGCTGTTTAAGACATACATCCAAGACATCAGAAGGAGGTTGAAGCTGTCAGAGATATGAAGCACTGGGACAAGAGGTGAAGTAGCAGTGATGGAGACAAGCAATCAGTGATGGATAGTCCTGAGTCCTCTCAGAGCAGAGGTTTGTACTCTCTGACCCTCTGGTCTCAAAGCATTTAAATAAGAAATCTCCAGCTGTAGCACACAGGAAGGGGTGCCACAGTGAAATGGGGTTGGATGAGCAAGAATATATAGGCAGCTTTACTACTGAGAGAATTTTGTCAGTGAAGTGAAGCAGCATCTGTTTAACAGTACACAACATGTGAATTCAGAATACAACACTGAATATGTCGCTGAATGCATTAGAAATCAACGGGGAATTTTGAAAGAAAGGAAGGAATTTGCGTAGAATATCACTTTATCATCCAGGAAGTCTGCTATTTTAAACTAATGCTTAATAATGGTTTAAACAAAGTCCTTAGAGCATTCTTGTGGGCACTGTGTTTTGAATGGGTTTTTTAAA